TTGTTGTGACACTTGTTGATTTTGGAAATACTTGGGGCAAAGAAGCATTGAAATGGCTAGGGTTTGGCCCTAGTGCGGGAGGTATGAGTTCTCCCCAAATTATAGTGCACAATTAGGTACTTCCTTGAGGGTTAACGCCTGAAATAACTTGTATTGTCTTGTATTGTAAGTTCACATTCGGACGCCGCCTCTAAGTTTTCCACATTATTGATTTCGCATTTCAATTTACAAGTTGATATTACATTGAGATTATAACTTGTTGTATATTGCATTGGATGTTCCAATTGAGTTAGGTGTATTACCAATTGTGGATTGTTTTCATTTTGTTTCAAATGTAGCTTAGGGTGCTTCCTTAGCTTTCCCTTGAAATGTAGACGTTAGGAGGTATGATCCATATGAACTCGATTTATATTATGCTTACAAAAAAACCATTGAAACTTTAGGGCATGCGCATGTGCTTACTCACCCAAGTTGTTTGGGTTATTTTTTTTAGGCAAGGAGACCTTGTTTTTGGATGCTTATCATCCTTAGTTTAGCTTGGTAGCAATTAGATATCTTTTGGGTACATTATCATGCAAGTGTTAGCATGTTTTACTTTATCTTTAGTTGATTGTAAAATGTAACTTGTTTAGAAGCATGGCATGCTTCCTTTTGGCAATGTAATATTTACTTAAGCACTTTATTTTGAAGTAGTTTCAACATATATGTAATGAGGCCAAGGGCCAAACTCTTTTGAGGATTAGAATGTATGATGAAATTTCAACATGTATTACCTCAGCGACCTATTTAATGTCAGGGGCATTTTGGGCATTTTATGTTGAAATTTAATTTGTTTTAAACCATAGTTGATTTGAAAACCCTTTTTTTTTTTTTGGGGGGGGGGGGGGGGGGGGGGTTGGTAGGGGGGCTTCACAAACTTTTTCCAAAAGAAATCATTTTTGCTTCGAAAAAAAAACATTTTTTTAAAACTTCAAGGTCACAACCAGCCCAATCACGATCCTTCGCAGAATCGGCAATCAATCGCCGATTGTTGCAATCAATTGATCATGGGGCACCTTTTTGGTCATTTTTCATCCTTTGTGGTCACTGTTCATCCTTCGCAAAACTTTGCGACCTATCGTAGAAGTGGCGTTCGATCGCACTGGGCTTATTCATTTTTAAATTTTGGAATTTGGCTACTGTCCCAATCGATCGTAGATTCGGTGATCGATCGCCGAATTTTGTGATAAGTGCTTAAATGTGACGCATTTTAGCACCTAAGCGAGGTATTTTAGTCCATTCATCTATCTTTATTTTTCCACTTTAGTACTTATTTGTGTTTTTGTCTATTTCAGGTCAATAAGATTCAAACGGGCTAAAAATGGTCTATTACAGCCTTTTTGGAGTCAAGCAAAAGTTCCGAAAAGATTTCAAAAAAATCCGGAAAAAGGTCAAAAATGCAGAATTTCGCCACCAGTGGATTTAGATCGATCGAAGATTTCTTCGATCGATCGAAAATGTGTTGGCAGCGAGCTGTTTTATACCCGCGCGCCCGAACTCCACCTACCACATAGTTGCAGGATTAGATATTTTAAGGGCTTATTTTCTGACTTGTTCACTACTCCAAGGACCTTATATTTAAAGGGAATTGAACCATTTTGTAAAATATCTTTTGTCTTCGATTTTATTTCATTTAATTTTATTTTCTCTCTCTAGAAAAGTTAGAGATTAGGGTTAGAAGAAAAGAGAAGAGTGGAGGCTCCAATAACACATCTCAATATCTACACACACTCTCTCTCTAGAATTCAATAAAGAAGAAGGGGAAGAAGATGGAGCCATGTTTGGGGATTGCCCTTGAGGGTTCCAATATCATGCCCACCTCCTCTATGATTGGCTAGACTTCTCCTTGGGGCTTGGATGAGTCCCAAGTTTGTAATCTAAACCTCTATCTCTTTCATACTTTTTGGGAAATAATATCTTGTGATTAGTAGTTTAGCCTTGTGAATTTAGTGAATCTTGGGTTCTCCTTTAATTTTTATGGATTAATTTTTCTATTATTTCTCTATGTGATTACATGTTGTCTTATGTGTGATTATTTGGGAATTGATCTATGCACTTATTTTTCTATATTAATTGCATGTCTATGTGTTGAGAATCTAGTGATGGCTAGACATGATTTTTATTAGATGGGTTTGTCAATTAATTTGATGGATTATGCTTATGTTTGATGGGTTGTTCTACAATTTAATTCATGCTTGTAGGTAGGTAGACAATCTACACTTGATTTGATATTCCATGGCTTATTATTGCAAATTCCATGATTCTCTAGATTGATGTGTGCTACAATTATGACTAGTTTGATGGGTCATGGTTAGAATTGACGGGTTGTTCTACACTTAGTTTAATTGTTGGTTAGGTAGGCAATTCATTATTGAATTTAATGGTCCATGCTTAATATTGCAATTGGTAGTCACATTTCATTCACAAGAAGGTTTTCCCCAAATTAGTTGAAAGTGTGTGGTTTTGTGAACAAGCTTGGTAGCAATTCCAATGAACCCCAAGACCTCACTCCTCATCTCTTAAATCCCTAACTCAACTTAGTTTATTTTAATTGTATTTTAATTTCCTTGCATCTTAGTTTAATCAACCAATCTCTCTCTTTGCAATCAATTGGTACATTAGAGTCAATATTAAATTCCAACACGTATAATCCCTGCGGACGATCCCTACGCACTATGCTTCATTAGTTGTAGTAGTGGTTTTATAAATGTAAATTTGACTAGAAAGGTTTCATAAACCACATTCATATTTTGACCTTGCGAAGCGACCTCTCGCATTACAAAGTTCATTTTCTAAACACTTAGAAAGGGGCTCGTCATTCTGCGATCGATCACACTGTGCACTCAGTTTGTCAAATTTTTATGAAACTTCGAGGTTTCATATCTTCTTCATCCAGACTCCAAATCGGATGATTCTTGAGTCTAACTTTATTAATTTTTTTTATTTTTTATCCAATGGTATGCACGGTAGCATCCAATTCCTTTTGAAAAGACCATTTTACCCTTGGGGTTTGCTTTGTCCGTTTTCAAAAACCTAGCTTCCGCTTTTGTGTTCATATAAGTTTTGTGGCTTCATGGGAAGTTACTTTGGCGTCTTAGAGATGAATATCATCTCTAAAGACTCCTTTTCTTTTGCTTCAGCATTTGGGATCCGTTATCGGGTCAGTTTCGGGTCACTCGCTAACGCATCAGGTTTGTAAAACTTGGGTCATCACAGTTATTTTTCTTTGTCATAATCCAATTTCGTGGAGCTCTAAGAAACAACGTTCTGTTGCTTGTTCCTCAATAGAAGCCGAGTATCAAGCAGTTGCAGCAACAACAGCTGAATTAGCATGGATTCAATCTTTACTAAAGGAACTTCGTGTCACACTCCCGCAACAACCTGCTATTTACTGTAACAATGTGGGAACCACTTATTTATGCGCCAACCCCGTGTTTCACTCTAGGATGAAGCACATCGCTATTGATTTTCAATTTGTTCGTGACAAGGTTACTCGCAGTGAACTTCGTGTCTCCATGTTTCGACAAAGGACCAACTCGCGGATGCTCTCATAAAACCAATGTCCAAGTCGCGACTTCTGTATCTTCGGTCCAAGATTGGTGTCTTTGATCTGAGCACCATCTTGCGGGGGCATATTAGAGATACTCCTTCATCAATCAAGCTTTAGTTGTTAACACGACTCACTTCAACATTTACATAAATAATTTCCCAATTATAGCAGCAATTTATGTAATTAGTTTTTACCATTTTTTATAGTTAACTTTATCATATAATTAGGATCTGCCTTTATTTATTTACCATACTGGGATAGAATTTTACGTGTGACGTGTGCATTATTTTACTTTCTTATTCATCTTTATTTCTTATAGCGATAATCGGTGGTTTATTGCCCAATATATGTTTATAAAAGAATGATGTGTAGTGACGGTGAACACAGAGCAGATCTAGGCCCAGTGGCTCTTAACGTCCTCTTTTTGGTTGCTTTTGTACTTTGTGGTCTAATATTTCTATCATGAGTTCTGTTACAAGGTATCAAACCTATGAATCTATTCACTATTTTTTATTTGTGATTCCGTGGTTAATCATTGAATCTTAAAAAGAATACAGAAATAGAATCAGAACCCACTTCGAATTTAGAATGAAAAAATAATAAATAAAAAAATATATTGTTTCTAGATATCCCAATTGGTCAAATTCAAAGCGTCTCCTTTTGATGAATGCAAGAAAGAACCACTTCAAGTAATGAATATTATTCAAATTTTGAGACGAAGCACATGTCAAATGTTTGTAGTATGGCTAGCGTCAACTCATGGATGTCCCACTAAAACTATGTCTTGGGCGCATCAAAATCAAGCAGAATTAAAGTTTGAACTAAATTACTTCCAATTCTAAGACACCCTAGTAGCTTCTAGGACACCCTAGTTGCGTTTTGTTTGGGAGAACCAAATCCGTACCATCTTAAAACATGCCAAAAGAATATGGAATCCATGAATTCTTCAAGCCCACTTTACAACGCTCTCTTTTAAGCCCATAATTGCACGGCCTCCAACATGTTGTGGTAGAAAACATAGACCATGTTTGGCACGTGTTTTGTTTAAATTTTAAACAAAATAAGGGTTTTGAATGGTAATCGAAAGCATTTTTTGTAACATCTATTTGTTGCAAGTTTTTTGGAAACAAAAACATAAAAACATGATGTTTGGTATAAATAAATATGTTACAAGTTTGAAAAAGTCATTTTTTGATTTTTGGCCATCATTCACGAAATGTTTTGACACTTTGTAAAACAAAACAGTTTTTACCAAACACGTTTTTTTCACTATTCACTATTACAGTATCCGACAAAAACAAAAACACTTCTTGTTTCGGGGCTTGGGTGACACTGTCAGATCCAGTCACTACTACAACAGTTCATGTGGTTAAATGAAAGATCCCCATCATAAAACATATCTCACTACATCTTTTGCGGAAAGGAAACAAGAAATCACTTTACTAATTGATAGAAAACAACATTATTCAATCTCAAATCAACATTGCTTTTAATCTTCACTAGGGTTCTTCAATAAACTGCTTGAATGCAAGACAATCGAGAAACAATACACAAACAAAACCTTTGGATAAAGAAAAACCTTACACATTCAACTTTCTAACTCTCATTTTCTGTCAACCCCCACTCTTTTACTATAGAATCAGATCTGTGGTGAAATTAACGCTGACCCTTATACCTCAAATACTATGGAAAAAAGGGTCACACGCCCTATATACAGTGTGATTGTGCCAAAGAAGCATTTACAGCCACTGTAATCTGATAAATGGGAAAGAAGCTCAAGCCCAAACGACTAGAAGAAAAATTAAAGAATACAGAACGCACCACCACATATAATCAAAGCAGCTCCGTTGACACCTGGAAAAGTAAAATATTTGACATCAGATATGTTCACCACAAAGGGCCACAACCGCATGAGAGAGAGAGAGAGAGAGAGAGAGAGAGAGAGAGAGAGCAAATTGATGCTTTTTATTTTTTATTTTTTTACTAGTTGGTACACTCCAAGGAATTGTTTAAATCAAGCAGGAATCGATCATGAGACCTGATGCTTCATGAGGCACCAGGGCCCGAGTCATTTCCAACTAGGCCAAACCCACTGGGGTTAAGCAAATTGATGCTTCAATTCTTTGTCTCCATAATTATGAGCTGTGAATCTTCTAATCACCAGTCTTAGGGAAAAAAAAAGTCTATTTCAATTAAATTTTGGTGTACGTAGCTGAATTTTATTTTATTAAAAGCAATAATCCTCAAGGTAGAATAATCATACTTACTACTGCATAGAACATTGTTTTCATATAGCAAAGAAATATAGTACGCAGTTACATGAATCATATGCCTCATTAATTTCAATAATAATGTTAAGGAACGTCGAAACAACTTCAAAATAATAAGAGGTTAAAAAACATACCCCATATCTTCCCAATTTACAGGATTAGAGGAAACTTGAATGACCCTGGACGTAAGACCACTCTGCTGTCAAAATATTGGAGTTTCAGGCAACCAAAAAAAATTCTCTTTTTGCTAGGTGCCTATGACATTTTCAAAGCTTGCTTTACTTGAGCAAATGCTGCAGGATCCATTCTACTAATGGCCGAATTAAAATTCTCTCCATGAAGGGCAGCACATGTTTGAAGGTTGTCTCTCACTGAATTCTCTAATGACAACTGGTTTATAGGGTCTGAGAACTTGATCTAACAAGGGTGAAAAAATGTCAGAATAAAATTCTATAGACATTAATTCTTGATTTCAAGAATCCTAAGAATGTTTACCTGCCGCCTCCTGAATTCTTTGCTTGGAACATGAAGCCTGCTGGAGCTCATATTATCGCTACTGTTATCAAGTAAAAAAGTTACATTTACAATGAGAAATAAAGAGAATATTGTCAATTTTATGAAAACCACCAAGTTAACAAAGCACAATAAAATTTAACCTGGATTCTTCCTCAGTTAAGTCTTCACTTCCACCCAATATTACACTCGTACATACACTATCACATATTAGTATACACCATGAAAAATGTTATTGCATGAACGCGAAGGAGATCTGATAATTAGACATCAAATAATGAATCAATTCAAAGCCAAAAAATTACCTAAGGATCTGATCAAGTTTGTCAAGTACTTGAGGCAATCGCAAAGTCAATATTATAGAAAGGGCTAAACCAAATGTCTTTTTCTGGATAGAGGTTACATTATCGACCTGCGCCACAAACCAGGGGGAAAAAAAAAGTGAGATATTGTACTGACCTTTACAAGACATTATGGAAAAATCTGCCAAATAAAAGCTCAGTTACACCCCATAAGAATGCAATCAGAAGCCAAAACATAAAAGATACTTTGAAAGCCTTCACTTGCAATGAGAATTGACTCCTATTCAGAACATACTGACATTAGAATAATAATTTAACATTAGTTTGGCAACACAAAGAGCAAAGCCCTTCAGGCATCAAAATTTCATGTTTCAGTAAAGTAAAAAATACTTCTTTTTAAAGCTTTAATATGTCATGAATGATATGTGCACAAAAACAATGTTGACGCATCATTCTCTTGTACAGCATAAACCAAAACCATTAAAACTGCTGTTTATAGTTGTAGGTATCGGATGTGTTATCCCATGTTAATGGAGTCCCAGAGGGATTTTTCCACTCAGGGAGAGAGGCATTAGGCAGGGGTGTTCACTCTCCCCTCTACTGTTCTGTCTTGTCACTGATTACTTCTCCCAAATGGTTCACAGAGCCGTCCAAGAGGGTCATCTCCATCTTTGTCACAACGTTCAGAAAATGAATGCCCAGATTTCTAATGCTTTCTTTGCAGATGACTTATTCATGATTGTGAAGGCTAGTACTTCTAATGCTAGATATTTAAGGATGCCGCTGCAGCAATTTACTGAAATTTCAGGTTTGAGTGTGAACTCTCAGAAAAGTGAGTTGTTTTTCTCAAGATCAGTGAGAAGGAAGAGGGGGCATTAAGAGCATCTTAATTTTCTCTGTGGGGACTTTGCCAGTCACATACTTGGGTTTACCATTGGGGGACAGAAGACTTACTGTTGCTCACTGCTCCTCTGGTGAACAAGATCAATTCAAAGTTGTCTGCTTGGAATTCTTTTAATCTTTCTCTGGCAGGAAGGGTAGAGATGGTCAGGTCTGTCATAACTTCATGTTATTATTTCTGGTCTGCTGTGTTCTCTTTACCTGGAGGTGTTCAGAGTATTATAGAGAAGAAAGTCAGGAATTTTATATGGACTGCTAATCAAGATAAAAGAGCCAACCTTCTGTTTAGCTAGGAGAATGTTACTCTACCAAAAAGGGAAGGAGGTCTGGGATTAAGATGTATGCAGGGTATCTCCACTGCTAGTAAGTGTGTGCTACTGTGGGATTTCTTACACCTCAAAGAAGCTCAATGGGTTAGATGGTTTAGAGATAAATATCTGAGGAAATCACAGTTTTGGCTTGTGAACAGCAAAACTTCTGACTCTGAAATTTGGAGAGAAATTCTCTTTGTCAGAGATATTTTGTTGCCACTTTTGGTGTATAAAACTAATAATGATGCTACATAGCCTACATTCAGTCGGTTTTATGACCCATGGTTTGATGGAATATCTCTTCAACCAAGATATGGTTTGAAGAGGGTCAAAGCAGGGTTTCAGCCTGGGGACACAGTTAGTGAGCTTAGACATAATGATGAGTGGCAAATTCCACATTCATGGCCAACTGAAATAGTTAATTGGTTGAAAGGGAAGTAGTAATCAACAGAAGAAGATGAAGTGCTCTGGAAGGATGGACAGTTTTCTTTCACAGCTGCTTGGGATTTATGTAGACAACATAGTGCAGAGGTTCCATGGTATTCTCTGGTTTGGAATGGCAGCAGGCCTAGAGTATCTATCTTTGCAGTTCTTGTAATGCAACATGCTAACAAGTCATCGGTTAATCTTCACAGACGGGGTTTGACTCTTCCTTCCATCTGTCATAATTGCTATAGTGGAGATGGTTCAAGGGATCATTTGTTCTGGCCTGTCCTTTCGCTAGTCAGGTGTGGCACTGGTATGTAGATTTCTGCAATTGGGACATTATGGGGCTTTCGTCTTTTACAACACTGGTTCATTACCCATTGTCAACAGCCTTCTATGAGAGGCAAGGCATCTAGATGATTCTATACCTCCATCATTTGGAGCGTATGGAGAAATAAAGTTCTTCATGGTGGAACTCCAACTCCTTTTAATGAGGTGGCTAGGGAAGACTGCATTGATGGATTATCTTGTTTAGGCATTTCCTTGGCTGATTTGCAGGTTTTGTTCTGACTAGTGGTCTCTCTCTCTTTCTCTAGTCAAGGGTATGCCCTTGATTAGACCGTCTTTTGATATCTTTTGTCTTGTGATTTCTTAATGGTTTCTTTTAGAGATCATGATATCTCTTGTACTTTATTGTCTGTTTGTATCAATAAATTTTCCAACCATTTAGGGAAAAAAAAAAAATGCACACCTAGGTGCGTGCCTAGGCTCCAGGCTCATTCAGGTGCAACACTTGCGCCTGTTGTGTGCCCAGATGTGCCTTGACAGCATTTGCGCCTTTAATATGGAATATGGATATGCTTTAATAGTAATTTAATTTTCAATTGTGTGCCTCGCTTCACTCAGGCGCGCGCCTCGCCTTGCGCCTAGGCTCCAAAGGACCTCTAGCGCCTTTGTGCGCCTTGGGCCTATAATAACACTAATCTCATTAAATATTTACCCTTATTATATTTAACAATTCTACACCCTATCCTTTTCTCGCATCACTGTGTGTACATTTCCCCTTGTTATCATGATATTAAACTCATACTTTACCCTAGCATTGTAAATAGTGACAATAATCATGCCTTAAATTTAGGATTATATTAGCTAGCATTGACTTACCTTAATATAGTTGCTGTAATTATGGAATTTGATTAGGCGATTTACCTTTTAGATACATACTGTAATTACTCCTCCTTGATTGTAGCTTTGGCAAATCTTGTAATATAAATAGTAATGAAAACCAAAGGGAGTGGATCGCTTCCATCATCAGAAATTCTGCTTTGACTCCATTTTCTCTGATTTACATGGTATCAGAGCAGGGTTAGTCAAAGACTTGCATTTTTTTTTTCTCCGTTTAGATCTTTATTCAGTTCTCTGTCCGAATCTGATTCACAACATCATCATCTTTGAAACCTCTGCTTAGAGCAGATCTTTGCTGATTTATTAGTCTCCTTGCATTATTGTGACTAATAACTCCGTTGACATCTATTCAGATTTGACTCTTTCGTTGCATATCTGTTCCACTTTTGCTATGGATAAAAGTGACATCATTCCTATTCGTCTTGCTGGTGCTATCAACTATGTGGGATGGTCTTTTCATCTCAAGCACTATGTCCAAGGACAAGGATTGGCTGAGTTTTTAGATGGAACTGCCACTGAGCCTACTGATGACAAAACCAAAGTCACATGGATCCAAAACAATTCAAAGGTGATTACTTGGATCTTGAATTCTATTGATCCTTCAATCACCTTGTCTCTTCAGTCCTTTTGTAAAGCCTCAAAGATGTGGAAACATTTGAAGAAAGTTTATCATCAGACCAACAAATCAAGGAAGTACTTCATTGACATCGAGTTGGCTAAATGCAGTCAAGGCGATAAGACTGTACAAGAATACGACAATGGTTTCCTCTCACTCTGGCATGAGAAGGATTCTATGATCTTGGATGGTTTTGACCCAACTGCACATTCCCATGTTCTTAAATTACAAGAGGAAGCCTATGTTAATCAATTCTTGATGACACTACGCCCAGAGTTTGAGTCTGTACGAGCTGTTTTAATGAATAGAGAAGCTTCTCCAGATTTAGATACATGTTTCCAAGAGGTTTTGAGAGAGGAACTTCGCTTTCAATCTCAGCATACCATTATAGAAGATTCAAAAGCCTTCCATGCATCTGCTTCAAGCGAGGCAGCTCTTCTTTCTACCAACAACAGATCAGTCCAGTGCTTTGAATAAAAGGATTTTGGCCACATTGCTCGCTATTGCAAAAAGAACTTATGCAATTACTGCAAGAAATCTGGGCATATAATCTCCGAGTGTCGAAGACATCCACCAAGGAAAACTGAGGCTTCACAACATCGTCAAAATCCAGCTGCCTTCCATGCCAAAGCTGATCCTACTCCGGCTAATGATTCTTCCTCCCAAGCTGATCAGATTCGCGAGATGATTAATGCTTCTGTTGCATCTGCCTTTACCTCCATGGGTATTAATGGTCGGTACAACTTAACTTCCTCTTCTACATTTAATTCGCCATCCTCTTGGGTTATTGACTCAGGTGCGTCTAACCATATGACTTCTGTAGAGCATAGCCTTGATAAATCTCATCCTTATACTGGAACTGAAAATATTCAGATTGCAAATTACCAGAATATGCCTATTTCTGGTGTTGATTCTATCACCCTTTCTACTCCCCAAAACCAACTTCCGAACTTGTCTAATGTTTACTTTGTTCCTAATTTATCTGCTAATTTATTATCTGTGGGACAATTGGTTGATAATGGTTACACGGTTCAGTTTACATAACGGAGAAGGTGATCGGGACAGGGAGTAAACGTGGGAGAACATTTCTGTTGGACGTGGGACTTGGAGCATTGCTTCCATCTTCTGTTAGCTCTCAGAATAATTTGTGGACCATTTGGCATCGTCGCCTCGGTCATTTGAATAATGATAAACTTTATTTTTTATTCAAGCTTATTTGTTACAGTCCAAATATATGTCCTGTTGTTTAAGTAAAAGTCATGTTTTACCATTTCAGGCTCATTCCTCCTGTCATACTGGTCCTTTTGACATTATCCATACAAATGTTTGAAGAATTGCACCTAAATTCAGTAGGCTTGGTTATAAATACTCTGTCACATTCATTGATGATCACTCTCGGTTTACATGGATTTATTTTCTTCGTCATAAATCTGTGGTTTTGTCCACATTCAAAAAATTCAGTAATCTTGTGGAAACTCAATTCAATAAAAAAAATCAAGGCCCTCAGGTCTGACTCAGGTGGGGAATACAATCTTAAAGAGTTTTCTTCCTTTTTCTTTGATAAAGGGATCCTTTCCCAGAAAACCTACCCACACACCCCTCAGCAAAATGGGATTGCCAAACGCAAACATCGGCATATTCTAGAGACAACAAGGGCCATACTATTTGAATCAGCAGTCCTTTCTGGTTTTTGGTGTGAGGCAGTGCACACTGCTGTCTATTTGATTAATAGACTGCACACTCCTGTGCTTGAGAATATTTCCCCATATGTATCTTTATTTCATTCCCCTCCTTCTTACACACACTTGTGTACGTTTGGATGCCTTTGTTTCGTTCATCTTCCTTCCTTGGAAAGAAACAAACTGTCCCAACAAGCAGCCAAGTGTGTGTTCCTTGGATACAGTGATGAACATAAGGGATTTTTATGCTATGATCCAGAGGCTCGATGAACACGTATATCCCACAATGTGGTCTTCCTTGAGCATATTCCCTTCTGTTCTCTTCAAAAGGAGTCTCAAATATCAAATATTACTTACCTTCCTCATTTTTCTAGCTCTTCTCCTTTAAACTCTACTAAAGAATTGCAGATTTTTAGTCGAAGGTTGCAACGTCCTCCTACATCTGCTCCTACTCCCGATCACTCATTCGTGCCACCTTCATCACCAGGTAACATTACTCCTGAAATCTCCCTAACTCCACATCGTTCTTCTCGTGTTTCTAAACCACTTGACCGCTTTGGATTTTCTGCCCTCCTTTCCAATGTAGATTCTATGTATGTTCCTTCATCTTATTCAAAGGCCAAAGGCAAGATGCTATAACAAAAGAATTAATTGCTCTTGAATCAAATCACACTTGGAATTTAATTCCCCGGCCTTCTAGAGTTCAAGTAATTGGAAGCAAATGGATTTACTCATTGAAGTTGAAACCTGATGGTAGTTTGGAACTTTGGAACGATACAAGGCTCGCCTTGTTGCTCAAGGGTATAAACAAGAGTATGGTATCGATTATGAAGAAACATTTGCTCCGGTTGCTAAGATGCCCACAGTTCGAACTTTACTCGCCGTTGCTGCCATTCGAGGATGGCCTCTTTGGCAAATGGATGTTAAAAATGCATTTTTGCATGAAGATCTCCATGAGACAGTTTTTATGAAGCCACCACCAGAATATGTCTTTCCTCCCAACCATGTTTGCCACTTGCACAAATCTCTTTACGGTCTTAAGCAAGCTCCTCGTGCATGGTTTGAAAAATTTTGCAGTGCCATCATAAAAGCTGGATTTCACCAGAGTGTTAATGATAACTCCTTGTTTGTTAAGCACAGGTTCTACATGGTTACTATTATATGTTGATGATATGATCATTACGGGAGATGATGAATTTGGAATTACCCTCTCTGAAGACCTACTTAATCCAATCCTTTAAAATGAAGGATTTGGGACCTCTCACATACTTCCTATGATTGGAAATTTCGCATTCGGCAAAGAAATATGCCGAAGACTTATTATCCTTGGCTCATCTAGCGGATTCAAAACTATGTGATACACCATTGGAGTTGAATGCTGAGCTACACAAAGATGATGGACCTCCTCTTCCTGATGCTACTATCTAAGAAGCACGGACACGGATAAGGGATACAGATACGACACGACACCGACACGGCGACACGGCAAATTCAAAAAAATTAGGACACGGATATGGCGGAGACACGGCGAATAGTGTATATATATATATATATATATATGATATAGTACTTTAAAAATTACTGAGTATTACTATTTTTCATCAACCTCACAGTTAAAAAAAAACACAAATCATTACTCATAACTAATAAACTATAAAAGAATAATGTTGCAGAGTTATAAAACAAAATAAAAAACAAGACATTAGAATAATAACTAGTATCATTTAATCATCATTGCAACTTTACTCCAAATACAAAAGCATAGACAAAAGGACTATTAACATTTAGGACTTTACTGTTAGCACTTAACATTCACAAAAACCTAAAGGCTAGTCCCCAAAAAAGATACAAAAACAAGTCAGTGTACTATCATCTATTCCCATCCATCATTTGACCTAGGACTTTTACCATTTACAATACAGAGCATATCAGCATTCAAAAAAAAAAAAAAAAATTCCAAAAGTGTCCGTGCCGTGTCCGTGTCCGTATTCGTGTCCGCGGAGTGTCCGAGCCGTGTCCGAAAATTCAAAAAAAATAAAAAATTCCACACACGTTTTTTGGTGTATCCGACACGTGTCGGACACGGATTCTTCGCCCATTTTGGAGTGTCCGTGCTTCCTAGGCTACTATATACTGTCATCTTGTGGGAAGCTTGATCTATCTCACTATGACTCATCCACTCATGCAGTTCAAATTGTTAGTCAATTTATTAGTAATCCTCATAAGCCCCATCTAGCTATCGTTCATCGTATTCTTCGTTATATTTGGGGAACTCTTGATCGAGGGCTCTTTTACTCTTCCACCTCTTCCTTGGCACTTCACAGTTATGCTGATACTAATTGGGCTGGCTGCCAAGATACACGATGTTCTACTACAACTAGTTGGTGTATGTTTTTGGGGTCATCTCTAATCTCTTGGAAGTGCAAAAATCAGCCAACAATTTCTAAATCCTCAGCCGAGGCTGATTACAGGTCTTATGTCATCTGCTAGTGGAGAGGTGATATGGCTTCGTAGACTTCTTCAGGAACTTGAAAATTACAATTCGTGGTCCTACTCCACTCTATGTTGACAACACCAGTGCTATGCAAATTGCTAATAATCCAGTGTTTCATGAAAAGACAAAGCCTATAGAAGTAGACTGCCATTTTATTCGGCACCATGTTCTCACAGGTTCTATACAGCTTCCTCATGTTTCCTCTGAGAACCAGCTTGCAGATTTGTTCACAAAAGCCTTATCTTGTCCACGTCATGAATTTCTAACAACCAAATTGTTGCTTGATCAGAATCCGCATTAATGTAGGATTATATTAGCTAGCATTGACTTACCTTAAGGGTCAGTTTGGTGCAATGGAAAAGGGAGGAAAGGAAAGGGAAGGTGATGGAGGGTGATTAAAAAATTGTGTTTGGCATAAATGGTGGGAAGGAAAGGGAAGGTGATGGATTGTTTTGGAAGGATAACTCAAGGCATGAATAGTAATTTTCTTAATCTCCCAAAAATGGGAGGAAATGGAAGGACAGGGAAGGCTAGGGTGATGAATTAGTTCTGATGCCAAATTTACCCTTACACAAAATCAAGATTACACTTGATTTTAGGATTTAGTTTGCAAAACGAGAATTACAGACCTTGATTAGTTGATTTAGAAAAAAAAAAAATTAAAACAAAACCCATACATACAAGTTAGCAGTTGCAGCGAGAGAGGGGGGCAAGCTTGGAGAGTTGAGAGACAGCGGCTGAAGCTTGCGAATGGCGAACCCGAACTGGAACAGGGGGAGATTGAAACTGAAAGATATGGGTTTTGATTTTTTGAACAATCTGAAATGATATGCCAATATGGGTTTTGATTTTTTGAACAATTTGAAATGTAGATTTTGTAGTTTGCAGTTGGAGAGAGAGAGATGGAGAGAGAGACAGAGAGAGGGCAAGTGCAGAGTTGAGAACGAGAATAGAGATGGAGGCGGAGGCTGAAATGATTTGCAATAAAAATATATATATTTTTTATCAATTTATCTTTTAAAATATAAAAAGGTATAATAGTAAATTTATATAAATAGTTTCCTTTCCTTTCTTTTCCCAAACATGATTATTATCCTTCCCTGTCTTTTCCTTCATTAATCAACCAAACACGATTGAGGGTTAAAATTATCCTTCCCTTCCCTTCCCTTCCCTTCCCTTTCCCTTTCCCTTATAACTAATGTTATCCTTTCTCTTTATTCCCACCGTACCAAACACAGCCTACTATAGTTGCTGTGGGTTTGATTACGTGATTTACCTTTTAGATACACACTGTAATTACTCCTCCTTGATTGTAGCCACTTGTTTGGCAAATTTTGTAATATAAATAGTAATGAAAACCAAAGGGAGTGGATTGCTTCCATCATCAGAAATTCTGCTTTGACTCCATTTTCTCTGACTTACAAGCATAACATCATCCACCCTCACATTTAGCCTATAAAAAGGACACTTTACTAAGGGCAAAGGGAGAAAGGAAATCTAAGGAACCACCACCCTCTAGATCTCTTGCTCTCACCCATACACACAGTCACACAGTCTCTCTCTCAGCTCACCCTCTAAACCTTCACCAAGGGAGTCAATGGTGAACTTGCACAATGCCATCCTATCTCTCTCTCAAGTTTGTCTAGACTTCTACCTCACTCAGTCTACTCTGGATCCAGTATGCATATAGAGCCCACATTAACAGTAATCATATAGTACTTGATCTGACAATGCAAAAATGCACATGTCCCAACCTCTCTCTCTCTCTCTCTCTCTCTCTCATATTGATAACACTCATTTGCAGATTTTCCATATTATTCTGAATTTGCCATTAGCAGAATCACTCTAGCAAATATATTTAAATAGTTCTGAATTCACTATGAATGAGAATACACACACATACACATGTATACTCTGCATAATATATATCTAATACAGCTTATTTCAGAAATAGAACAATCCCTAAAAATATAACTTGTCTGTACGATCTTTAATAAATTCTAATCTTGAAGGCCAATGTTTAAGAATTTTAGAATGACGGATTGTTGTTTTACTAGAGAAAGAGGTAGAGACTAGAAATAAGGAATTCCTACCTAGAAATAAGGAATCCCCATGTTAAGTATCACATTCCCATTTCATGAAACATTTAAATACTAAAAAGAACGTAAAATAATAAAAGGATAGCATTATAAACCGATTGCATTCTATACTCCACTCCTTGAATCCAAACCTAGGAGCCTAAAGAAGACTAACATGTTGTATAGACAACTCCACACGAGCTGGTTTTTTAATTACGTTTTAGGCCCAGATTTTAAGACAAAAATTCACCATATATATGGCAATGCAATTTATAGGTATTTCAGGACATATATACATGCTTAAACATTTAAGAGAACAAAAAGGGCAGAAAACATCAGTCAGTGTGAAGAATATCCTTGTCTTGGAGATGAAAGTTCCACTGACCTTGTCAAGCCATATGTCCACCAGACAAAGAAGCACGTTTTCTTCGGTTGAGAAACCCGCCTTCTGCAGGGATAACACCAGTGATGATTCTGATGTTAATTGAGCAAGGTAATTGGTATTCATTACCAAAATCCTTGCTAAGATGGCTGCTGAAGAGGCCTTTACAGCTGTCTTAGAAGGATCATGGTCATCTCCTCCGGTCAAGCATATAATGATTAATTTCTAGCAAGAACCAGCAAAAAAACCAAATATGTGAAACTGTCTAAAAAAAGCAGAATGGCCCCACAATTGTGGGCACACAAAAACAAAATTATTGAAACTGAAACAAATAAGACAATCATTATTACCTGAAGAGTACTGCTGATCAATTGGGGTACCTCCACAGGGAAACACTGCAAAGCAGAAGAAGCAAATATAAATTACTATTGATTAAAATCAAAGAATATAAACTGGAGCCACATCAAATGTTCAACCTTCAAAATTGAAATGGTGCATTTGATTTTCTGAAAAAGGGAACCACTTCATTTTCTTTTCCATATCTTTTAGCATTAGTATGAAATCATCACAATAGATGATACTGAACTTTATGACATTATTTCTGTTAGGAATTAACCCTTCCTTCGTTCGGCACAGTGGAAGCACACGCACAATAACTGGAGATCTGAACATCGCACAACGTACAAAAATACAAAAATACAAACACACAATATTTAACGTGGTTCAGCTCCACCTGGCCCTACGTCCATAGAGAGGAGATTCCACTCTTCATTATTACGAAAGAGATATTACAACGGTAGAGAATATACACACACACACACTGTCTCATCAGAAATTACACCGGTATAGATTTCGAACACCGGACCATGTCCACACACACTCAATACTCAGGCATGGTGTCAGATACCCGAGCCCTTCACGATCTACCACTCCACGAGACCTCCGCTTGCCATCGGTGTTCACCACACAGAATCATCTCTATCCCCACGCACTCACATATTTTTGTGAGACTACATCTCTCTACCCTCACACGGTAGTTGTTAAAGGCGCGCCTAGGCTCCAAAAAAGCCCCAGGCTCGTCAAGGCTCAGCTAGAGCGCCTCAGCCTACTATGGGCCGGGCCCCTTCAACCAGGCTCACACGTTTTAGTAGGCTCCAAGCTAAAAAAAGGGGCGCGCCTTGTATTTTTTAATCATTTATTCATATCATTTCTTTTTTACTTGATGACTAGTAAATTAAAAGGTTCTATATCATATATCTTATTGTTTAACCTTCTGAAATATTTGAAAAAGTTCATAAATTTATGGTTCACTACTTACATTAACTGCAATTACTGTTTGATTATGAATATATATAATAATATATATATTTAAATATGCATTATTATATACACGTGCCTTACTTCAATCAGGCTCGCACCTTATACTGCATCTTGCGCTTAGGCTCCAGAAGGCATTTGGCGCCCTAGCGCGCCTTGAGCCTTTAACAACTATATCACACCCACTCTAATCTCTCTTTTTTATTCTCGCACTCACATATTTCTCCCCTCTTCTCTACCTTCCTTCATCGCCATGCACCTATATTTATAGGCGAGCTTCCTTCACCCTTACTTTTCCTTGCCGCATGACATTCCTTAGCCACTAGGTAACTCAATCTTTGACTGGTCCATCATTTCGGCTGTCTTAGCTGTCCATTACTTATCAATTCCTTTTGCTTAGTTGATCACAACCACCACGTCACTAAGACCAATTACAGGGAACCACATATAGCTAACCAATCAACAAAAAACACATGCCTTTAACCAATGAATTTTAGCCACATTTCTAACAAATCTCCACCTTGGCTAAAATTCTCCACCTTCCCGCAAGCTCACCACTCCAACCATCATGCATTTGTATTTTTTGTTTTTCTTCTCTGGACCTCCATTATAAAACAATGACTGAACTTTTCAAGATGAACCTTCAGCTCTACACACAGCTCGACACAGGGACTCCTCTCGAGCGTGACGACTTTGTGACTGTTCATAGAACGACTCCCCTCGAGTTACCCAGCCTCCCGCTAGCACGGCCTTCCATTGCTTCCTTGTACAACTCTCTAGTGTACGCGCCCAATAGATAGGGTCCCTCTTTGGCAGCACCTCAAGTCACCTCCCCACGCCGACTCCTCAACGCTCGCCATTGTTGGCATGTCCCGTTCCCAGATGCACTGCTCATGTGCACGTAACCTGGCTCTGATACCAATTTGTTAGGAATTAACCCCTCCTTCGTTCAGCACAGCAGAAGCGCACACTCAATAACTAGAGATCTGAACATCACACAACGTATAAAAATACAAACACATAAATACACACAATATTTAACGTGGTTCGGCTCTGTTGGAAAGTATAAAACATATGTAAAGAGAAATTAAACGAGAAAAACACAGATATTATGTGGTTCAGCCACTAGGGCCTGCATCCACGGCACAAAGAGCCCAAAGGGCTACATCACTTTTATTATAATCTCTCAACTCATACACAATACAATGTTTGAGGCTCCTTTATATAGGAGAAGAAATTATGAGAATGGAAAAAGATAGAAAATAGGAAACAAGGAGGATTTTTCTCTACTGATTCCTCTAGTAACACCAAATCTTCAATAATAGGAAACATCAATTATTAAAAGATTTTACTCCACTGATTCCTCCATTAAATCTTCAATACTCCCCCTCAAGTTGGAGCATGAATGCCAACCTTGCTATTGAGATGACGAGTAACAAGAAGTGCGAATGATGAAGAAAGACGAAAAAAGGCGAAGAACAATGATACCGAACACACCGGCAGCCCAAATAAGTCAAACAAAAATTACCGAAGACACGACAAAGGCGAAAACAATGCTACCGAACGCACCGGCAGCCCAAACAAGTCGATAAAAACTGCTGGAGACACGGCAAAGAAGAAGACAATGCTACCGAACACACCAGCATCCCAAACAAGTCAATAAAAACTGTCGGAGACACGATAAAGGCGAAAAACATTATTGCCGAACAAACCGGCAACCCAAACAAGTTACAAATAGCACTGAGAAACCCTTAGCAACATTTTAGATGCTAAGGGAATACCCCAAAATAGGGGTCCGAACCTAAGAAGAGAAATTAGGCTTTGATACCATGTTGTAAAGTATAAAACATATGTGAAGAGAAATTAAACGAGAAAAACACAAAGATATTTATGGTTCAACCACTACGGCATACATCCACGGCACAAAGAGCCCAACAAGCTACATCACTTTTATTATAATCTCTTAACTCATACACAATACAATGGTGGAGGCTCTTTTATATAAGAGAAGAAATTATGAGAATGGAAAGAGATATAAAATTGTGGTGGAATGAATTCAATTATATTGAATCTATTAATCTTTTTACAAGAGCCTCTGTTGGGCTATATAAAAAAAATTATAGAGAGAAAAATCAGCAACTAAATAAATTTTGAAAACCCTATAATCAGGAATCCCTGATTCTCTATCAATCAAATCCCTAAACTCAAGGAAACAAATATTTACACAAATCCCTAAACTCTAGGAAACAAATATTTACATAATTCTAGTGCTAACCTACCACTAATCAAGGAGACTAACTTGTATTTTTCCACACTCCCCCTCAAGCTGGTGAATTGGTGTCAATCATTCCCAGCTTGGAAATAATCTATTGGAAGACAACACAATTGAGCCCCTTTGTAAGAACATCTGCCATTTGACCTCCGTGGGAATGTATGGTGTGCAAATTAATCAGCTTTCTAGTTTTTCCTTGATAAAATGCCTGTCTATCTCGATGTACTTAGTTCGGTCGTGTTGCACTAGATTATATGCAATGTTGATTGTTGATTTATTGTCACAATAGAGTCTCGTTGGCCCACTCCATTTAATCTTCAAGTCTTCCAGTATAATCTTCAGCCATAACAACTCAGACACCTTGTGCCATTGCTCTAAACTCGGCTTCTGCACTTGACCGGGCTACAACAATTTGCTTCTTGCTTCACCATGTTACCAAATTGCCTCCAAAGAATGTACAATAACCTAAAGTAGACCTCCGATCCATATGGGACCCTGCGTAATCTGCATCTGTGTAGGCTTCAAGGACAAACTCAAAGTTTCTCTTGAACATTATCCCCTTACCAGGATTAGTTTTCAAGTAAATGAAGCACACGGTAGGCAGCTTGAAGATGAATCTCCTTGGGATCATGCATGAATTGGTTGATGACGCTAACAGAATATGCTATGTTCGGCCGGGTGTGGGCAAGATAGATGAGTTTTCCAACTAATCTCTGGTACATCTCTCTATCTACTGCTTGATCTCCAATAGCCTCTCCAAGTCTATGGTTCAGCTCTATAGGTATTGCAGCTGGTTTGCTTGCGAGCATTCCTGTTTCCTTAAGAAGCGATGACATACTTTTGCTGCGAGATAAAGATACCTTGTCTAGAATGAGCCACTTCTATCCCTAGAAAATACTTCAATCTCCCCAAATCTTTTATCTCGAATTCTTTGATTAAACATTATTTCAAGGCTTGCTTCTCCTTCTCATCATTTCCAGTCATAATTATATCGTCCACATAAACTGTCAAGGTCGTGATTATCACCGAGTGTTTGATGAAAAGAGTGTGATCTCCCCGACTTTGCTTGTATCCTGTACCTAACATCACCTTAGTAAATCTCCCAAACCATGCACGGGGCGATTGTTTTAAATCGTATAATGCTTTCCTTAACTTGCATACCTTGTTCCCTTCAACTCCTCTAAATCCTGGTGGGATGCTCATATAGATTTCTTCTTTCCAGGTTACCATGGAGAAAGGCGTTCTTCACATCGTACTACTATAATTCCCAATTAAAATTAGCTGTTAATGACAACATCCTCACAGTGTTCATTTTTGCAACTGGAGCGAAGGTCTCTTGGTAATCAACTCCATATGTCTGAGTGTACCCCTTAGCACCTTGCCTTGCTTTGTAGCACTCTAATGATCCATCAGCCTTATATTTCAAGGTAAAAACCCACTTACACCCACTGCCTTCTTTCCTTTTGGTAGATCAACCACCTCCCACGTCCCATTTTTTTCCAATGCATCCATCTCAACTCTCATTGTTTTCCTCCATTTTTCATTGGATAATGCCTCAAATAAAGTGTTTGGAATAGAGATTTCATTTAGACTCGTGAGAAAACTCCTATGGGCTGGTGAGAATTTCTTGAAGGATACATAATGAGACAGCGGGTATAATGGTCGTTTGGTACACTCTCGAGTTCCTTTCCTTAAGGCTATGGGCAAATCTTGGTCAGTTATTTGAGGTCTAGGGAGCTGGTGTTCTATAAGTGGAGTAGGTTCAGATACCGTTACCTCATTCTCAGGAGTCAGGTTGGAGGTTTGGGCCTGCACCGGATAAGGAGCTGGACCTTGCTTCCTCGAGTACACCTTCCCTTTCCTATATCGTACGTGATCAAGAATCGTATTATCCTTCACAGAAGACACAACAGGAGACATAGGTGATAAAACAGGAGATTCAGACTCAGGTACTGAGTTAGATTGAGTGTTTGATACAGGTAAGAGAGATGGTGAATGAGACGAAGACAGTAAAGTGAGCTGGAAAAAATCCTTATCTTCCATGATAAATGACTCCCCCTGAAAATAAGGTTCAATAAAATACGGTTTCCCTTCCGCAAATGTGACATCAGCTGAGATATAGAGTTTCCTGGTAGGAGGATGAAAACATTTGTAACCTTTTTGTGTGGACGAGTATCCTACAAACACACAGTTAATGGCTCTAGGATCTAATTTTCCCCAGTTGTTGCTATGGACATGAACAAATGAAGTGCACCCAAATATCCTAGGGGTAAGGTTGTTTGTGGCACGAAGGTCGGGGTAGAATTTAGAAAGGGCTTCCATTGGACTTCTTGACCCTAAAACCCGTGAAGGAAGTCTGTTTATGATGTAGGCAGTACTGCTTCCCCCCAATTGTGTTTTGGTACATTTTGATGAAACAAGAGTGCTCTAGTAGTGTTTAGGAGATGAACGTTTTTCCTTTCGGCTATTCCGTTTTGTTGTGGAGTATTAATGCAAGATGACTCATGAATAATTCCTTCCTTTTGAAAGAAGGGTGACAAGACTTGATTGAAGTAATCCCTCGCATTATCAGACCTAAACCTCTTTATTTTGGAACCAAATTGATTGCGGATCATTGTATGGAAATTGAGAAAGATATTACTCACATCTGATTTGTTTTTGAGTAAAAATATCCAAGGGACTCTAGTGCAATCATCGATAAAGGACACAAACCACCGTGAACTAGAAACATTTGGGACTATAGAGGGTCCCCATATATCACTGTGAATTAAATAAAAAGGGGAGGAACTTCTTTTATTGCTAATGGGAAAAGCTACACGAGTGTGTTTTGCATACACACAAATATCACAATGAAATGTTCCAATATTTAATCCCTTAAACAAACAAGGAAACATAATTTTTAGAATTGCAAAAGACAGATGTCCGAGACGAAAATGATGCAACCATATGACATCTTTATTGGAAGAAGAGAGAAACGAAGAGGATAAATTTGTCTTGATCATACTCGGAAGGCTCGGTGTCTCAAGGTAGTAGAGTCCTTCCTTTTCCTTAGCACGTCCAATCCTCCTCCCCGAATCCTGGTCCTGAAATTCACAGTAAGAGGGATAAAACGTAACATGACAATGTAACTCTCTAGTAAGCTTTTGAATGAACACAAGGTTAGCGAACAATTTAGGAACATGTAGAATATTTTTAAGAACAAGACTAGGGGTGATATGGATATCTCCTACACCAACAACCGTGGTTGTGGTTCCATCAGCAACAGTGATTTTCCTATTGCTAGGACATGGGATATAAGTGATGAACTGGTTTGAGGCATGTGTCATGTGGTCTGTGGCTCCTGAGTCTATTATCCATGAATCCACAAACAATTTATCAGAAACATTTAATCCAAAGGAGAATAAAGACTCACCTGAGAGGGCTAAAGAACAAGCACCAGAAGATGGTTTCTCAAGGTTCCCAGCAGGTTTCTTAACTTCTCTATATCTTCACTGTCGAATCCTCCATATTCTTTTGTCTGGTCCTGACCCACCTGTGAGGTCATATGGACTTGCACTTGTTGTCGTTGCTACTGTCCTCCTTTGTTTTCCCATTCTTGGCTGGATGTGGGTGGTTTCCCGTGTAATTTCCAACAAAGATCCCTGGTATGTCGCGACTTTTTACAATACGTACACCAGAGATTGTCTCGGTTTGCCCCCTTCAATAATTCCGCCTTTCCATGTTCAGCATTTTGCGGCTGTTCTACAGGAAACCCCGCTTCTTGTCAGCAGAGGCTACGAGTGCTGAGCTGTCAATCGACTGAGGTTCAAGCATGATTCCTCTCCGACTCTCTTCAGCCCAAATCAATGAAATCACCTCATTAAGAGATGGTACCTCCTCCTTCCCCAAATTTGAATTCTGACTTGATCAAATTCAGAGTTTAGGCCAGCGAGAAAATCATAAACTCGATCTTTTTCAATGAAATTTTTTATAATTACAGTGCATTCACTGCACTTCAAATCAATCACTTGGTAGTAATCCTATTCTTGCCACTGGTTTTGAAGAAAATTGGCATACTCAATCACGGACTTGTTCCCCTGTTTTGTAGACGCTGTCTTTGTCTTGATTTCGTATACTTGCGCCGCATCATGAACCTTGGAGTAAGTCTGGTTGAGAGCGTCCCAGATGGCCTTCGCCAGTTGGTAGGAACATGCATGTATCGCTAATTTCAGGTGTCATGGAATTCCACAACCAGGACATGACCATTGAGTCCTCCTCGTCCCACGCTTCAAAATTTGCATCACCTTTCTTTGGTCTCGTTCCCAGCAAGTGACTTAATTTCCCTTTTCCTTTCAGAAAAGTTCGAACCAATTGAGACCATTTCAAGTAGTTTCTTCCATTAAGTCGGTATGCCGGTTGAATATTCTGCAGTTCACTTGTGGAGCGCTGAACCTGCTCTTCCTCGGGTGATTGGGATGATTGAACAGTAGTTTCTGACATTCTTCAACAATCGACTATGAAGGCCGGACAGAAGGGTTATGCAAAAATTGGCAAAAGAAATTACCAGAGAATGACTGCGATGAAGGCAAGTCACAGAGAAAATAAGCTATGAAGGCCTGAACAGAAAATAAATAAATAAATAAATAATTTTTTTTTTTTTTTTTTTTCAGGAAATCCATTTTTTTTTTTTTTTTTAGGAAATCCAAGCCTTACGACTCTGATACCATGTGGTGAAATGAATTCAATTCCATTGAATCTGTTAATCTTTTTACAAGAGCCTCTGTTGGGCTATATATAAGAAATTACAGTGAGAAAAATTAGCAACTAACTAAATTTTGAAAACCCTATAATCAGGAATCCCTGATTCTCTATCAATCAAATCCCTAAACTCTAGGAAACAAATATTTACACAATTCTAGTGCTAGCCTCCCACTAATCAAGGAGACTAACTCGTATTTTTCCACAAAAATAGGAAACAAGGAGGATTTTTCTCCATTGATTCCTCTAGTAACACCAAATCTTCAATAACAGGAAACAACATCAATTACTGAAAGATTTTCCTCCATTAAATCTTCAATAGGCTCCACCTGGAAGAGATTCCACTAGTCATTAGTACAGAAGAGATATTGCAACGATAGAGAATCACCCCCCCCCCCCCCCCCCCCACACACACACACACACACACACACACAGACACACACACTTCTACGAGACTACATCTCTCTACCCTCACACCCACCCTAATCTCTCTTTTTTATTCTCTCTCACATATTTATCCCCTCCTCTACCTTCCTTCATCGCCATGCACCTATATTTATAGGTGAGCTTCCTCCACCCTTACTTTTCCTTGCCGTCTAACATTCCTTAGCCACTAAGTAACTCAATCTTTGACTGGTCCATCATTTCAGTTGTCTTAGCTGTCCATTACTTATCAATTCCATTTGCTTAGTTAATCACAACAACCACGTCACTAAGACCAATTACAGGGAACCACATACAGCTAACCAATCAACAAAAAACACATGCCTTTAACAAATGAATTTTAGCCACATTTCTAACAATTTCTTTTGGTAGGTTGACATTATTAGAGAAGAACCCAAAAGGTAATCCTTCCACGGAAAAAGGCGGATGATGAACTCCATATACGTATAATTGAACCAAAAGAATCCATTTCAAACGCCATGTAAGGGCAATGTAATAATTTGCTTCACATGAGACATCAAAATCTGCCACAAATGTTATTCTGATACTAATCGTAGCAAGTGTAAAACCAGGTACCTGAATTAGAATTTCAATGATGTGAAGAACTGAGAGCAACCCCCTATCGTTTACATTTTCAACAACCAGATCAAGAAGTTTAGGAACAATAGAAGCATGCATATTTAGAAAATCCATTCCACCCAAAACTATGTAGTCTTCAATGATATTGGCAGCAACCTATAGTTCAAAATCAGTGGAAGTCAGGATAATATAAAATGCACAGCATACTTCTAGGAAATGATGCAATACACAAGTCAAATAAATTACACTCTAGAAAATTTTCACCTTTAAATGATCAAAACTTCTTTCCAAGATTTTCAGTAGACATGGGAAATAACCCATTAGTTGAGGCACAATTGAGGGGGCATTAGAAAGTGTGGCTTCCCATAACTGCATGATTACATCACTTGCGTTAGCATGGTACTTTTGAAAATGATGGTAATCATTTGGAGAAAAATCAGAATAAGAACACAATGAATTGCTAACCAGCATGCTGTCTTCAAGAAGTTCATCTGGGCCATTTATGTCAATTCCACATTGTAAAATGGGCAGCAGCATGTTATAACAAATGGATGACTGATAACCAAGTGCAGTCACAAAGTTCTTTAGAGCAGTAAGAAGCTGAATTTGCAGAAGGCTTTCATTCGAAGATTCCTCCCATGCCTTGGAAAAAACAAGCATTTCTAATTAGTGTAAAGCAAGAGTAGCAAGCATAATTGTAACTGTTTCTTTAGAAGTGAAGAAGTTAATTAGGTAGGTCCTATGGTCACAACTTGATAGGAAAAATTACTAGTCGGAACATTCAAATACACCCAACTAAACACACATACATGCCTAAATACATTGCTGTGTAACTTGGAAAGTTCTCGAACTCACTCACTTTGGGATTCAGTTTCCAGAATTTTTCACATTTCTTACAGGTTTCTTAAATGAAATATCAATTCTCTACTATCCTTGTTGAATCATAATTAAATCCTATTAGTGATGGGGAACGAGACATGTTCACACACATTACACATACTATGCCTAGTCCCATCAGCGTACTTTCCATTTTAGGCTCCATAACTCTTCCTCAGCCCAGTGCTCACTCTTTTTTTATGGGGAGAACTGCATCTATTCAAAAGGAAACATTTCGGCCTGTAGGAGAGGCATCTGACTTTCTTACCGACCTACCTACTGACAATCAATTGAAGGAGGTTTCTCCAGGAAGTAGTAGAGGAAAGCTCGGCTGCAGTGCATCCAATTTGTGTCGAGTTTTAAGCCTACTATGCATCCTTGTTCCATCTACCATTCCTGACAATCCATTTGTGTCTTGACCTGGATGACATTCAATATCATGTACCCATGTTCCGATACGTGTATTGGCTAACAGTGTGCAATTTCCTATTGTAGAATTTAAATAGAGTATCTTGTATCTATAAGCAGTGGGGCGTGGCCGAGGAGCAGCCAGCTGACTGCCCCCTTCCACTCAGCCTTTCTTCACTCTTGCAGGTTCTAACAGCATTAAGTTGGCGACAAGAAAGACTAGGCATTCAGGCAAGCTGCCCAGTGTTGTGGTATGTAGTGGGATTAGTATGCCCCGCAAAAACGGCTTTGAAACAAACAAAAAGCTGCATGCCGTACTTGAGGACTGCTAGTGATATACTGGAGGAAGTTGCATCTGTTTTAGAGTTACTTTGGAAAAAGAGGAGAAGAGAAATAGAATTAAGAATTTTGTAAATTAGGGATAATTTTTTTTTTTTTTAATGATTTAATTTTAGGGTAATTGTTAGCAGATATGATAATTTTATGGTTTTTTTATTTTTTTATTTTTTTTAATGATTCAATTTTAGGGTAATTGTTAGCAGATATGATAGCCACGATTTATGGAATTACTTATCGTATTAGCAGAGATTTGATTTTATATAGAATAGCCATAGAATATGTTGTGATTTGATTTAGATTTGATTTAATTTCCTTTCTTGTAATACGAGCATGTGCTCTTTTTATCTATAAATACTAGCTGTGAATGAGTGATAATCTCATTCAAGCCTTTACACAATTCTCTCATTTTTCTTCTTTTTATATTTCTACTTGGTATCAGAGCCAAGATGGTCCGACTGCAATGAGGGCATTGTGAGTTCGACACCACACAATCGGGAATGGTATAAAGTGACATGACAACACCCATTCGAGATGTGTCAGGTAGGGTGGGTGGTCCGACCTCAATAAAGGTGTTGCGAGTTTGGCACCACCTATTCAGAAATGGTTAGAGTTGACATAGTTGTTTCTTTTTATGGTCTGAGGAGACATTGTTGATTCTTTCATCTACATTGTTTAAACATATGTATGAAGGGTGTTGTACAGTATTGTATGAGTTGTCACCTACCCCTCATTACCATATATAGAATTACCATGTATATGGTTTACTTGTTCTCCACTCACCTACTCCCGTAACTTCTTCTATATAATAGTTGTTAAAATCCCGATTCTGGATCTTAGAATCTTATGATTCTACGATCCTAAATTGCCAAAACGATTTCGATCCCTTGTAAAATCTCTGAAAAGTAGAATCTCAGTAGGATCTGTAGAATCGGGAGTGGGATCGTAGAATCTCATAGAATCTTACGATCCTACTGATTCTACTAAAATGTGTTATTTTGTTCTTCTTCCAAATTTATTTGGCCTCCAATTAATTTTGGACTAATAAATTTAATAATTTTAAATATAAAGTCCAACTCATTAGCTTAATTACATTAATAAAATAAAATAAAAACAAAAAAATGAACGTCAAATGTAGAGATGATCTCTAAATTTTAAATCGTTTAAAATTTCCTCTATTTTTTTCTATTCTTCTTAATTTCTCTTTTCTTCTTTCTTTTTCAGTACAATGAACATAAAGAATTCTATTTTTCCACCTATTCTTTGTCAATTCTAAAACAAAAATAAAGAAAGACTTCATTTTCATTCCGTTGTTCTTTCTATCACAATTTTGTTCTTTGTTTTTTTTTAACCGAAAAGCAAACTTTTCAACTAAATTGCTCAAACAATTAGGCAAATAAATTGTACTTTTCACTCTATACTAGGCTTTACTTTAATTTCTTCTTTACGTTTTTGCATGATTGTTATGCTGATTTTTTGTTGAAATCAAGAAATTGATATTTAGTATTTGTCACGTGTCTTAGCACTTTTAAGGTTAATTAATTTTGTTAGTGTCTGAATTGGTTATTTAGCCTTATTCTCTATTTATATTGAAAATGTTTGATTTAGAAAGTTAGTTTGAGTTACTTTTCTAATAGTTTCATAAAATCTTCCGATTCTCGATCCAATCCTACAATTCCGATCCTATGAAGCCCTCATCGATCCTACGTAGAATCCCGATTCTAACATAAACACCACTGTATTATTGTATTACTCACTCAATAAGATATACGTTTTTATATATTTTATTTCTCTCTCTCTCTCTCTTTCAACATGGTATCAGAGCGGAAATCGATCCCTTTTTATTATTTCTTTATTTATTTTGTTTAGTCTTATTCAGACTATGACTTGATTATGGAACAACTTGAAGCCTGAGATCTTCAACAACGTGTCATTCCTAGAATATGCCAAAGATATCTGGGAAAATCTCAAGGACATGTATTCTTCAGAGAAGAATATTTCTCGTATTTATCAGTTGCACCAAGATATTTTTAATCTCCAATAGGGAGATCGTTCTATTGAAGATTATTACTTAGAATTGAAGGGCATGTGGTAAGAATGGAAAGTCTAACAACCATTGACTACAGACATAGAACAACAAAAAGGGCATAGGGACAAGTTTCGGGTGGCAAAATTTTTATCTGGACTTAAACCCGAACTAGCTCCGATCAGTTCGCAAATTGTTTGTCAAGGAGATACCCACAGCAAGTGAGACTTTTGCTCGATTTCGAAGAGCATCTATTCATGCCCTTGTGATTGAGAAGGACAACCACTCTACTCTTGTTGTTCCTAATGAGCAACATGATACTTTCTGTGGAGGACGAGGGAGCAGAGGTCCTTCCAACGCAGGCCGTAGTACTCGTGGCAGCAGAGGGGGTTGCGGCAGCAAAAGTGTACTCATTGTGGCCGAAACAATCACTATGTTGACTTCTACTGGGCTCTTCAAGGCAAAACAACTTGGGCTAATCAAGCTTCAATTTCTGAGGAGACTACTCCCACTCTTGTGAATGAACAAGTCATTCTCTCCAATGCCGAATATGATTCTCTGGTAAAGCGTGAGCGTGCAAATCAGCCCTCCTCCACCACTACTATCATTACTTCAGGTAATACATGTCTCAATGCTTCCTCTTCTACACCTTGGATCATTGATTCAGGGGCATCTGATCACATGACAAGTAACCCATCTCTTCTTTTTGATATTTCTCATGTTTTCTCACCATCGGTTACCACAATGAATGGTGCCAATTCACCTGTTCATAGAATTTGTGCCTTCCGTACTTCGTGTCTCACTTTTTCATCAGTTTTATATATCCCTCAATTTTCATTCAATTTATTGTCAGTTCACAAAATCATATCAAATTTAAATTGCTCAGTTACTTTTTCTCCTTCCCGTTGTGTCTTTCAAGATCTCAAAGACAAAGAAGACGATTGGTGGGGGATTTGAGAAGGATGTCTTTACTACTTCCAGTCAACTACTGCTCTGACAACTCTACATTCCACCTCCTCTTCAGCTTACCAATGGCATTGCCGCCTTGGACATCCCTCTTCAAATAGTCTTCGAGCCTTGGTCCCTCCTTTAGTTGATTTTGCTAAGTTTAATTGTACTACTTGCCAACTTAGTAAACATCGTCGGGCTACTTTTAAGTCTCGTTTTGATAATAAAAGTTTAAAACCTTTTGAGTTAGTACATTCGGATGTTTGGGGACCAGCTCGTACTACTGGTTTATTTGGTGCTCGTTATTTTGTGTCATTTATTGATGATTATTCACGTTTAACTTAGGTTTATATTCTTAAAGATAGATCTCAAGTATTCTCTGTTTTTCAATCCTTTAATGATGAAATTCAAAATCAGTTTGATGCAAAATTACTAATTCTTAGAACTGACAATGCCCTTGAATATACACTTCTTGTTTTTCAAAAGTTTCGTGAGTCGAGGGGCATTATGCATCAAACATCTTGTGTTGATACCCCTCAACAAAATGGAGTTGTTGAACGGAAGAATGGCCCACTCCTAGCTATCGCTTGTGCCTTAATAATTCAAATGCATGTTCCAAAACATTTTTGGGCAGATGAAGTTCCGGTTCCTGCTTATCTTTTAAACCGCATGCCTTCTAAGGTCCTTCAAGGAAAATCACCCTTCCAAATGATGTTTCCTGACAAAAAACCTTTTTCCATTCCTCGAAAGGTGTTTGGGTGTGTCTGTTTTGTTCATAATCTAAGCCCAAGACGAGACAAACTTGATCCTCGTGCTCACAAATGTATTTTCTTAGGTTATTCTCGCACTCAAAAGAGATAAAATATTACAGTCCAACTCTTTGTAAACAATGTGTGTGCAAATGTAACTTTATTTGAGGATGTTCCTTATTATTCCCAGGAAGACAGTAGTTTTGAGTACTCTATTCTTCAAGAGTCTGTTCTTCCAACTCCAGTTTTTTATTCTGACATCCCACCAGCTCTTTGTGTCTATACTCGTCGCCAGAAAA